ACAGAACCCTCAAAACCTGTCCATTTTCAATCTGAAAGTCAAAAGGGTTTTTCCCACATCTTGAATTGTCACCTTTTGCTTAAGAACCACGTTAGTTTACCTGTCATAGATAAATACCGAAACACAGCATTTCTTAGATTACCAGTAACATCCATTCAAATTCATTCAGCATTAGGAAAAATACAGCCAGAAAGTACTCAAAACTGATATGCAGGATATGGTAAATCCACAGTGTATCCCCTACCTAAGGATTTATCTTGCTAGCTTCATTCCATCCTTTTGTAACTTCAGAGATTGAAGCAAGCACTGTATGACTGACATATTTTAATACAGCAACTTCATTCAATTCCACTATTTAATAAAAATAGGAGAAAATATCACCCTGCTTGTAATATGCAACCACATTCGCTGACAACTTCAACAGCTGCAGGCAACTCTGCAAAGACTGCTCAGGGAACCACAGTTCAGGGAAACAAAAATTTGACATCCATACGTGACACAGTAACAAAATATTACCAGCAGGCTATTTCCATAAAAACACTGCAAAATCTTTTTTTGCCAAAACAATTGCAATCTTTATCATCAATTAAAAATTTTTAGATTCTTCAAAGTCAATAGCAGCTGATGGCTGCTATTGTCCCTACATTATTTCTATTAGTGTAAATTTGTCTTAGAGCTGTGAATTACTTTCAGAAATGAGGTATTGACTGAATATACTATCTTGAGCATAATCTTTTTTTGTCATTACACATCACCTTGTTTCAGTGGATTTCCATTTTGACAGACTCAATAGCTCAATTTTGTTCTATGCAGAATTCTGTTGTGTTCTGCCAGTCACTTGATATCAGGAAATGTTTGCAGTGCATAGCAGTTTATTGAAGTAAAATAGGTAAAGACACAGCTCAAGGGTAGTGGGACTTCTAAGAGCAAGTAATGATTGAGGATCTTCAGAACCATTCTTCCAAAAAAGGATTTTGAGATAGGAGTCATCAAGGTAGAAACCTAAAGGATAGATAAAAATTACTTATTCACAATCTGATGGTTTGAGTTACTATATTATGGTATCATATATGTCAGAAAGCAATTAAGTTTAAGTGATCCACTGCATTTAGTCAATATAAATGCAGTACTTCTGTTTTCTTCTTCATATCTAATAGGTTGCAATAAAAGTTAAAATATTCTGAAGTAGCCAGCTTGTTTTACTTTTTATTAATTTAATACTTACAGAACTATTTCTTCCAGTTGCCTGAGATTCTTCCAAGAAAACAAAAGCCTGCAATGGTGTACTGGTTTTCCACACAATAATTACTTCTTTCATGGCTATTTTGGAAGACCAACTTTAAAGATGCAGATACTTTTAACATGAGTTAAGGGCTGTCTCCAAATGCATTAGAGCAGCATAACATTTTGTACTCCAGTGCACATGTTCTTCATCACTTGAGTGCAAAAGCTTCATTACAAGACCATGAAAGTGACTTGGAGCAGCAGCAGATTCAACTCCCTGCCTTTCAAAAGCTTCAGCTAAATCCAAAGAAATTTTAAGGACTCTAGAGCTAGGCAAATTGGACTCGATGATCCTTGTGGGTCCTTTCCAAATCAGCATACTCTGCAATTCTGTGAACTTCCTTTGAACATCTTCAAGAGCACAGACTCATCCCAATTGTGGTAGCAGAAAACTCTGAGCCAGACAAAGCCTTGCACTGTAGGGTAACAGAAAAAATGAGAAGGCAAAAATGTACAGATGGGAATCAGGATATTCACCTAGACCTGGGAGAAAGCCTACAGCTGCTGTTTAGTGCCTAGTTGTGATCAAATAACCACACTGAAAAAACCTATCAAGGACCATATTCCAAGGCTTCTCAGGCTGCACAGAAATCTCCTATTTCCCAGCAATGATTTAGACTCCTGTCCTCCTTTTCTGTTTATAATGTAGAGACAGGACCAATCTCTCCTTTCTATTAGAAGAATTCTGCTACCTCTGTGGGAAGAGACCAAAAAAGCTTGAAAGAGCTAGTAGTGAGTGGGTGGAGTGCTTCTGTTTTCAGTCTGTTGTACAACAGCACCATCCAGCTGTCAAACAAAAAAGTTATCAAACATTAATGCCACTATCCAGATTTGGTCCTTGTATCACAAACAAAATGAGTAATTACAGATATTTTAGAAAAAACAAACCAAAACCCAACCCACAGGTCCCTTCCCTGTTTCTTAATTAATTATATTGATCCACTGTGTTACACTTTCTGGGTTAACACACAAGAGTGTGCTTTAGGGAAATTAATAATGCAGCCCAGTTTTGGTTTTTTTCATCCAGTAAGAGTGGCAAGCTGCAGCTTACCTCTGTTTCATGAAGTGTGGAATGTAAGCTCTCAGGTATGAGGAAAAGACCATTATCTTTGGCTCACAACCAAAGGTAGTTAATCACACTACAAAAATTAATGGAAAAATCTCAACCCGTAAGAGCCTATGTTTAAGCTATCACTCTTTACCACTCAAGCTTCAGCAGTGAAAGCAAGAACAGCAACCTCAAGTGAAGAATAAAAAGAATAAAAAACTCATACTCAAGTAACTGATCACTCCTGAGAGACATTACGATGTCTCCAAGATTTTTCATAAACTTGTGTTATTTAACAGTAAGGAATATGCAATGGAAATAAATGGCATTCCCTACAACAGATGACTGATTACCTGAATTAAAGCAACAAGGTAACTGCTTCAATTTCCCTCAGTTCTACACTAAACTCATTTTTGTTGTAACATCCACAGGGAGCCTACCATGTACATCCACTGATGATCAGAAGACTACTGTTCATGCATCACATGTGCCTTAGCCCATCCTGTGAGCCCACATTCTGGCACTGACACCTGAAAGTAGTAATGCATCTCCTCTGATTTTCTGAAGACAAGTACTAGTTCTTTACAAACACTTTACAAAGCAGCACAGGGTACCTATCAATGCCAAAAGATAGACCAGTCATCCTTTAAAAGAAAATAACATTAGTGGATGCTTCCTGAGCAAATCTTGTCAGAAAAAAAAACAACTTGTAAGTGCAACAGTTAACCTAAGAGAAAGAGCATTTCTATATGCAAAGAAAACCTGAAAAGAAATCCTAGGATAAATGAGATGACATTAAGGAACTTGAGCTTATGCAAAGAAGAATCAGCATACCCACATCAAGAACGATACAATGTTTTTCTTGCACATAAAATATACTGTAGATTTTAACATAAGCCCAGAATTTAAGAGCACAGCAACAGAAAAACAGCAAGTACTAGAATAGCAGTTAAAGCCACAGGAGCAAAGAACATGTCCAAAGATACAACAGAGGTGGCAAATGACAAACCTTTGCCAAGTAGGAGAGAAGGTGCCCTTAGACACCAAGGGAGGCAAAAAGCCAGAAAGGCAGCAAAGGCAGAAGAGTCTGAAGAGACACAGCCCTAGGAAAGAGGACAACTGCTCCCCAAAATCCGCAGATGAACAAGATCAAAGAGAGGCATGGTTAATGAGGAAGTATTATGGCTAAGTTTAATGAAAGCAAGAAGTTCTCTCACTAGGAAAGAGAACAGAGAACACACGACCTTCAAAAGGAGCTGTATTAGAAAGTCACTGCAAGACTATGTCATTAGATCAGAGACAGAACAAAGGTACTAGAAAAAAACTGCAATGAGAAGAGACCAAAATATTAAAATCAGTCAAAAAAAGAACTGGTGTCAAATGGGCAAAAAAATGAGGAAAGATCGGTATGTAGGAGGGTATTAAAAGATAGCAAGGATGTGGCAGAAAAGAGCAAGCCCTTGAATGTGGAATGAAAGTATCTTCAGCTCCACACACAGGGGAACAAAAACAAAACAATAAAAAACCCCAAAAACAAAACAAACCAACCTACCAAAAAAAAACCCAAAACAACAAAACACAAAAAAACAACCAACCAAAGATGACAACAACAACAAGCAAACAAACAAACAAAAAAAACCCAACTACAAAATGAGGAAAATGTCAAAGTCTGCACTTTAGGTGAAGAGAAAGTAATTTGAAATAAAGAATCTTATGGTCTTGATGGAAGAAAGTACATTTTCCTTGCCAGGAACTGACAAGAGAACTTGTGACATGTTTGAAGGCCGTACAGCTTTGCTTGGAGAATTTCATACTCAAAAGGCATAGAGTTACATACTCATTCCAACGGAGAGGGTAGGATCAATCAATTTCAAAATTCAGATGTAAACAGAGAGCAGAAAGGAAGAGCAAAAGCAGATTTTGTGGAGTTACTAGTCAGATCAAACAACAAGGAAACAGCCTAAAATCACTGCAAGCATAGAAATAGGCCTACAGTGGAAAGAAACAAGACAAGCCAGACAGGAGAAACAGAAAGCCATGAACTCTTTCCAAAACAGTCTAAATAGAGAGACAACACTTTTACACCATCCTTCATGAGGTCAGCCAGAGTTCTGCCAAGATGATCCCAGTAAGAACTAAAGGATTTCACATGGAACCTGAGCTCATGACAGTAGTTTTTCTGTTTTATCACAGGACACAAGCTTTTAAGCCAGAACACCAGAAGTTAAAAGGTAAAAAACACTGCTTTCACTAGACAGCAACCTGTTTACATTTATTAGTAGTTCAATTTAGCTTAAAAAAAAAAAAACAACAACAACCTTATTTAAGATTAGAGTACCTGTTTAAACTGAGCTTTGTAATCTTGTATGAGTAAGCATTTCCAAACCCCAAGTTTCAGCTGTCCAGAGTCTTAGATAGATGTACTATAGTTAAACCTGCCATGTCACTCAGAGGATCTGTTTACATGTCTGCAAGTCCCCCCTGCCTGCCCGCCACCATAGTATCTATTTACTATCCGCAGAAATTACTATGCAGCTCAGACCTGAGGAGTTCAGTTTTATCTTCACCAGTCCCTCTAACCTTCTAACTAGCAGAGCTTGCACATCTGACTTACTGCAAGCTTCTGCTGTCACTGACAAGTGCAGTGGGAGACCCAAGGACAAGCTTGTTGGATTTAGGATTTTACTTAATGAACAGTCTTATGTAAACTGGGGACACAAAATTCAACATATGAAAATAGTGATGAAATCACACATAGTAAATCCATACTATTGAGCAGAACAGCTGAGTGCAAGAAACATGTTGCATGTATCAGCTTCTCAACCTGCTGCATTCGTAGAACTCAGAACCACACTGCAATGCTCACCAGCCCATTGTTTCAAACAGGCTTTCTTCAAGTCCCAATAATTTTATATTTAGCATTTCACAGCAAGGTAGTTTCTACTTCCAAAAGTTTCTACACAAGTTGCAGTAAGACCCGTATCTTCCAATAAAGAGAGGCCAGGTTCCTATGACAGGAAGTAGGAACAAACCCAGGGAAGCTCTATCCTAGAAAGCTCACACATTTCAAAATTTAAGATCTTATTTTAATCCAACAGATGGCAACTGTAAAATCCAGTTCTTAAACTTGCTGCTGCTAAGTCTTCATATGTACAGTGACAACAGTCCATCAATTCAGGTTTCTAGTCAGTAGGGCTTCCCCATTGATTCCAAGATTTTCTTTCGTTCTTCTGCTGAGGGCATCTCTGGTTTCACACCATTTCTCTTCCTTTGCATCATAATTCCATGCTGAAAATAGAACAAAGTGACCATGAGAACAGATTGCCCTGAGCTCTGAATGAACAAGATTCTTTAATAGAAAAATGCTTCATATATCAAGACCTAGGTATTCTAAAAGCCTGATTAGCTGGTAACTAAATGTACTAGTAGTTAGTTCAAGATACCTGATAGTTTACCTTGCTGCTCCAGAACACAGTCCAATCAGTATTCCCATTACTCTATGCCAGACCAACGCACAATTGTCTGTAAATAGGTTTTTTTGTAATTTGCATAAGTATTTAAAGGCTAAGCTAAAACCTCTTTACTTCAATGGTATAAGGAAACAGCAGAAAACAGTTTAACTGCACATAAATCTTCATGGTATTTCTCCACCACCAAATAAGCTTTATATCAGGTTAAAGTAAACATGATCCAAGACAGTGGGAAACCAGATAACCTTACCTTGCCTCAGAATTTTTTCACTGCATCAGTTTAAGAGAGAACTTATTACTAGAAATATGTGACTCAAGTTCAGAGGAAAAAAATCAGGTACTGCAAGAACACTGACTCACAATCTAAGAGAGTAAACCCAGGACAATCAAGTGAAGGACTTTGATGTGCATGAGCTTAAAGTCTTACAGCAACGCATACTGATACTACCTGGGCTGGCAAGTTACCATAAAAACATCATTAGCTGAGTTTGAAGGGTTTAGAAAGCAGCATGTCAGAAGTAATGTACATAAAGCAAAGCAGGGAGTAAAATTTAGAAAGTTTACTGTGCTTACCCAGAATTTTCTGCAGTTTTTGTACTTCAAAAAATAATCAGTACACATATCCTTGTTATAGTTGTTGTCATCCATACATTTTGTAGTGGCATCTGTTTCCTTTAATAGGGGAAAATATACTTCAGAGCTGAGGGAAGTTACCGTACTCAGTGTTTAAATATTTTAACAAGTCCCAGAATAACTATGAAGATAGGAGTGAGCTCTTCAGATGAAAGAACACTATCAAAGAGAGCAAAGTAACACCTATTAAAAAGGATCATCAGTACTTCCAAGCAGTGATTTAATTTAGAGATAACAGTGAATAGTACTCTTCAGACAGTAAGTGCAGAGTCCATAGAATATTTGTTTACAATAATGCTTAGTATAACTCACAAAAGACTTTTAAAAAATAACCAAGCTTGTCTAACCAGGATTTCAGGCTCTAGTTTTAGGGACACAAAACTTAAGAGACTGCCAGCAGTTGTATTACTCCTATTTATGGGGAATTAACTTGTTATTTCATGTTTATTATAATGGATGATTTTCAGCCCTTCCCATCTTCAGACTCTAAAGAAACTGTTAATGTAAAGTGCTATAACGCCAGTGTGCTATCCACAAAACAGTCCCCTAGAAAGTGCATTATTTGGCACTGAAATGTACAGACAGAAATCTCAATTTGATCTTACCGCTAGACATGGATTTATATCGTGATCTCTAAGCTTTTTTGCATGCCTGGACATTCTAGACAGACACTCGTACCTCGGCTAGAAAGGGAAAATAAACAGGTTAAGTATCTACTTTTAACATTAACTCAGGATTAAGTCTGAATTTCAGGATGTAATAAAGGCCTTCTAGCAGCACACAGTTTTGTTATCTTTAAAAAAAACTAAACAAAACAATAAACCTTCTTTTGCAAAGTGTTATTTCAACAGCAAGACAACACTGGCAAGTTTAGCCCATTGCCAAGACTGCTCATTACCTGATAAATTCCTGCAGAGAATGGAGCCACTGCAGCTCTCACACCAGCCTGTGTATGATGGAGGAAGTGACCACGTGTAGGAGAAACAGCTCCATAGAAGCTTTCACAGCCAATACACTGTAGGCACTTCAATTAATAGTGTGTGGGAGGAACATACAAGTGAACTTTTCCAGATTTGTTCCTACTCCTTAGCTGGATCACATCTGCATCATCACTGAGCTTTCCCAGGTACAACAAGTGCCCAACTATCTCCTGTGTTGCTATAGCAAATATTCAATAGAAAAAGAACTGGTTTCACCGCAAGGTGGGACCAGACCCACTTAAACTGTGTATGACAGCTTGAATCACATTTTTTACCATTTAGTAGTTTGACACTGACTCTGTAAGCTTGAGAGACACAGAGTTCAGTGCCAAGACTCCACACTGATCCAAGATGATGACATCAAGATGAACAGCAGACCCTCTTTCCCTTTACAGCTTCCTATACATTGCCTCCAGCACACATATGGTGATACAGGTATGTTCCAAACAAATACTAAATGTAGCAAAAAATAAATTAATGGTGACCATATGACTGCTTGAATCAATGCAATCAGAAACACAGGACGGAGGGAGAAAATTAAAATTACTGCTAATGAAGGGCACAATTTAATCTTGTTGGTTTTTACTTTCTTGAAAAAAATCGGTGCTAATCTTTAACTTCGACCTATTGCTGTGCACATTATGGAATGATAAGTGCAAGTCTGCAGTAAAAAGCCTGTATTGCTTGATATCACATTAAAAAAAATAACTCACACACTGCTCTTTGTAGCTCATAGTAAACCATGTTTTAGATGGGGTTTCTTCTTTGGGTAAGAGTAAACTATTCCCAGCAAACAAGCCCTAGGTTTTACAAGCTGTGCATATATACTTTCCTGGTGCTTGGAGTACTCTTTGCTTTCCATATAATTATCTTCTGCAAATGGGCCTTTTAATTAACAGCATGGGGGGGGTTGGGGGGCGGGGGGTAAATGCTTTCACTTTCCTTTGAGAACTATCCAGTGCTTAAGTTAATTTCACAAGGCAGGAAAATGTTCTCTTTTTTGATGGGTGGAAGTGCATTTTTGAGGAGGCACTTCCAACTCAAATGGAAACACAAGCAGGTATACTAGCATCATCACAGACTTCGAGAAAGGAGGAGAAAAGGGAGAAGTAGGAAGCAAAAGAAGCATACCACAATGCCTTGCCTAACTCACCACAACAGAAACAAGATTTTTTTTACATGTTTGCATGTGTCTGTGCATTTCATTGCTAGCACCACCTAAGCAGACATGCCTCAAGGTGTACAGTGTCACTCTGACTTCAGACTTACTCTCTGGAAGAATACTTGTGAGTCATAGGACCGGGCCGTCATAATCAGTGTTCCTTATACAAACTGCACTTGACACTTTCAGTTTGATTACACTACCAGACTCTGCAACCGTGCCCGGTCTGAGGAACAACGCACACAATCCATTAAACACCTACTTAACGAATAAGCAGTTCAGGTTCTAATGAAGATGCACAGCTAGGAGCAGGCAAATGCTTAAACATTCTTGGTACTACACAAAAGGTCTGATAGCTCCTGCGCGTGTTGCTCTCTCCCCCCCTCCGAAGTACTTCAGACTTGAAACATTATCAGCTGGAAGGGCAGGCGGGTCACGCAGAAATGCTGCTGTGCGACTGAATGAGCAGTTGGGCAGGAAGCGAGCTTCCCCCTCCTCCCAGGTTCTGCACATGTACGGGCTTCCCTTCCTGCTTTCAGATCACAGGTCAGAGCCCAACCACAACCGAAGGCTTGTCTATGCCACAGTTCTTAATTATGCTTTAACACATTAACAGTTGTAAACTGTACCACAGAGAACCAGGGCTGTTGCTGGCACTCTTTAACCCTAGGGCTTTTTCAGTTCATAAACCATCAGGGCACTTCGCTACAGGCCCCCGCCCATTGAAAAGCGTTTGGTCTGCTTTAAACGCACACATACAGATACAAATTCGCTAATTATGCTGCCGTGCAGACCAGCTCATTAAAACTCTGAAGCCTGGAGCCAAGGCCGTACTAAAATTCCTACGGCATTTTGGGCTGTTACGGCGGCGGAGGCAGGAGGAGGCAGCCGGCGGTCCCTGACGCTCAGCACCGCGGAGCTGCCGCCTTGCCCAACTCGGCTTCCCGGGGAAGGCCGGGGGCCGTCCAGGTGCGGAGGCGAGGCCGGCGCCCCCCCGCCCGGTCCCTGCCTGCTGCCGGCGGCGGAGCGGCCGGAGGCGCCCGGCGACCCCTTCCCCCGCCCCGGGTCGTTCCCCGCGGCCGCTCCCGCCGCCTCCCCTCGGCACCACCTGCCGCCAGGGAGCGGTGCCCGGGCCGCGCCGCCGCCGGGCCCGAGCGGGGCTGCCCCGGCCCGCGGGCGGCGAAGGTCGAGCGAGACTTCCCAGCGCCGGCCGGGAAGGGGAAGCGGCGGGCAGGCACGGCGCGGGTCGCCGCCGGCGGCACTCACCTCCGTCCCCGGCCGTGTCCGCTGGAGCCCGGGGCGGGAGCGGGGCAGCCCGTCTCCAATTCGAAAGACGTCAGCGGCTCGGGCAGCGCGCTTAAGTACGGGCGCAGCCTACCCCGCTCCCGGCCCCGCGGCTCCCCCCGGCCCCGCGCCGCCGCCGCCCACGCCCCGGCGGCTCTGAG